CTTACTTACTTACTTACTTACTTACTTACTTACTTACTTACTTACTTACTTACTTACTATTAGCTCAATGTCTGTTACTTACTATTAGCTCAATGTCTGTTACTTACTATTAGCTCAATGTCTGTTACTTACTATTAGCTCAATGTCTGTCAATCCAATTGAACTGGAGCCAGTTTAGTGTTGGCTAAACTTTGAATTTGGTTGACTTTAAAAGTTAATAACTTGTTAATCTGCACTGACTGATTATTTTCAGACCGTTTTATTAAATTGAATTCATGATACTTGCTAACATATTTGCAACATGATATTTGCTTTGATTTGGTAACAGACAGACAAACACAGAGGCAAAATGAGCATATTTGATGGTGGGTGTGAAAAAACTGAAGGTTTGTTTAGCATAAATTTATTTTTTCATGTATTAGCTCTGTCTAAACTGTCAAAGATCACAGACGTCTTCTTCAGGGGCAGCCTGAGCCTGAAGGTCTAAACCGGGGCTTGAACCAGGACCTTCTTGCTGTGTGACAGCACTGCTGATCACTAATCCATGGTGCTGTTGCTCTGATTATTTATTTTAATGTATGCTTGTCATGAATGAGTAATTTAGTTTCGAGGTGTATTTACCCTTGCAGACAGGCGGTCCCATGTCTGTTTGACCAGAGCCTGATCCACGGACAGTTTCCCATCCTTATGGATCGGCTGCAGCATAGGAGCCGTCTGCTTTTTCTTCATCTCATACTGTACATGGAAGCTTTTGAAGACCTGCAACACAATTTGCAACAGTCACCCTGCTGCAGGTCTGTTGTTGCTACAGCTGTGGTCTGAAGGGTAACTGACCTGGTATTTGTCTGCGAGGCTTCCCTCAGCTCCCTGGGCTCGCAGTAGATCTCTCTCGAGCTGATCTAAAAACACCTTCAGTTCTCGCAGCATCTTCCGCTCCTCTCTCTGTCACAGTCAGAAAATTAAAGCTGACAGAAACCTAATGGTGTGAATGCTGAGTCAATATTATAATTTACAGTGTTTTCGGTGCATTTTCTAACTCCTTTAGCATACTTTCAGCTTTTTTGCCAAACCATCTATCAAAACCTTTAACTAATTTAGGACAATATGGGTGCTGACTTTTACTTTTTGTAACTTTTACAAATTTTGAAATATTAAAAACATAATTAATATTTATTACCAAAAATGCAACAAGATCTTTTCTAATTCAGCAAACTTGCTGTATTGTTAGCTTTTAGAAAGTCTTCCCATTTTGGATTCTGACAAATGTTTTGGTAAGCTAGCTACTGTTCTACTAATTTAACTTTTAGCTACTGCTTAACTGGTTTACGTTTTTGCTACTGATTTGTAAAAGGGATACCTGATTAGTTGTAACATTAGACTTTATTTAATAAACATATATTTTAACTGTAAAATAAAGACTGTAAAAATACTGTAGGATGTTCAGTTTTTTATCATTTTTAAACTAAAAGTTTAAAAATACAATATATTACACGGACGGGGCCATTTTATTTACACGCAAAGCATTCTGGGTAAATGATGACGTGGATAGGTCCTCGGTGCGAGGCTGCTAGCGAGCTATATCCACCCTGAAGGTTAATCTTGGACAATATCTGATGATCGACTCTTTTAAATGAAAGCAGAGAGCGTTGACAGAGAGGAGAAGGTAGAAATGACTCAGTCTGTAACTGAAAATATGGATGGAGGACAACAAAGCTGCTTCATGGAAGAAGAACCTTAGCTTAGCCTGTTAGCTTTAGCATTAGCCCAGACGCTATCATCAAATATATGTATTAGCTCAGCGCTACACATTCTCCTCTCATCACTGAGGTCCTCCATCCTCATGACAGAGAGGGGAACACAAAAATGACTCAGCCTGCAACTGAAAATATGGATGGAGGACCTCAGTTTAGCTTGTTTGTCACGCTAGCGCCGAGCTAATACATATACAGCAATATAAAGTTGGCACTAACGCAAAGGCTAACAGGCTAAGCTGAGGTTCTTCTTCCATGAAGCAGCTCTGTTGTCCTCCATCCATATTTTCAGTTCCAGGCTGAGTCATTTTTGTGTTTCCCTCTCTGTCATGAGGATGGAGGACCTCAGTGATGAGAGGAGAGTATGTAGCGCTGAGCTAATACATATAAGGCAATATAGCGTTAGCGCTAGCGCAAAGGCTAACAGGTTAAGCTGAGGTTCTTCTTCCATGAAGCAGCTCTGTTGTCCTCCATCCATATTTTCAGTTCCAGGCTGAGTCATTTTTGTGTTCCCCTCTCTGT